GGTCGGTAGGAGATGGAGGTGCGGCTTGAGGTGGGAGGAGGGGATAGGTGGGAGGAAGAACAGGTTAGGGAGGCAGGGACGAGCTGGACTGGTTTTGGGATGCGGTAGGGGGAGGGGAGATTTTGAAGCTTGTGAAATCCACATTGATACCATTGGGCTGCAGGGTTCCCAAGCGGAATATGAGTTGCTGTTCCTGCAACCTTCGGGTGGCATCGTTGTGGCACTGCAGGAGGCCCAGGATGGACATGTCGTCTGAGGGATGGGAGGGGGAGTTGAAATGGTTCGCGACTGGGAGGTGCAGTTGTTTGTTGCGAACCGAGAGTAGGTGTTCTGCAAAGCGGTCCCCGAGTCTCCGCTTGGTTTCCCCGATGTAAACCCTCTGTTGCCCAGGATAGACACTGAAGTTTTCACCCTGGTAGAAATCCAGGGCGTGTGGAATCACAATCCATCTCAAAGTGCTCTTACCAAATCTTTACACTTTGTAAAAAGGACGTGAGATAGACATTATGCCCAGCCGATTTTAACCCTCTCACCTTTGCCTTGTCCGCAAACATCACCCTGAGCTGCCAATCACTTGCTGTTAAATTTCCCTTCTTGCTCTCACATTCACATTCCTCTCCTGGGCCCCTCCTGTGTTCTAGAGAAGCTCAGTGCAAACTAGGGGAGCAGCACCCCATTTTCGGAGACATGGGTTCAACAATAGCCAACCCCAAACCATCCAACCCTATCCCCATCTGTCCGACTCCCTTGGTTTCATGGAGATGTCATTCACTCTGCTATTAACACCTATTCAGGATCTACTTCATTTGACTTGAACCAATTATCCCACTCCCTCTGCCTTTTGTTCTAATGACACCTGTTGATCTCTAATCCTACTCAGTCTAGAATCTTCCCAATCTGTGTTGCTGCTCCCATCTTTTCGCCAGTGCAGAACCATCACCAATCCAATCAAAGCAAAATACTTGGGATGCTGAAAATCTGTAACAAACACAGCACTTTGGAGAAACTCAGCAGGTCTGGCACCAGCTCTGCGGAGAGAAACAGTTAAAACATTTTGGGTACGATACATCCCTTCTTCAGAACTCTTCTCCCAGCACCTTATCCAATTCTCTTCAATCCTGAACAGTCCTAGAGATAGAAATATTCACCCAGACCCTTCACATGACATGACCCGAAACATAGCACCAACAGAGAGAGAGACACACACACACACACACACAGACACACACAGACACACATAGCTGGTCAGGGCTGAGACTCAGGGTGGGGGTTGAGGTGGACACAGTCCGCTACCCCCACCCCTCAACGCCCCAACGAGACGGCACTGTGTGGGGATTATGGGAAGCAAAGAGAAAACGGAGGTGAGGATCTCCGTGGCCAAATAGCCCACCGCAGCTTCCCGAGAAACTCCCGTTAAAGCGGCAAACAGGCGGCCCGTTTAGCACAAGTTTCGGATAATCAGCCCCAGAACGGGGATCAAGACGGAGGACACATCCCTGTCCCCGGGGGAGTCGGGAGGGTCCCGGTCCCGGTCCCGGTCCCTGTCCCCGGGGGGGTGGGGGGTGGCTCTGTCCCTGTCCCCGGGGGAGTCGGGAGGGTCCCTGTCCCCAAGCGGGTGGAGGGTGGCTCTGGCTCTGTCCCCGGGGGTTTGGGGGGGGGGGGGGCGCGCCCCTTGGCCGATACTCGGGATGCGGACCTGGATCATCCCGCTCCCCCGCTCCGAGCTCCGACAGTAACCGGCCCCGCCTCCTGGAGCTGCTTTAAACACAAACCGGAGCGGACTTACCCCGGACCAGACTCGTCCCGGACCAGAGCGGACTCATCCCGGACCAGACCCGGACCGGAGCGGACTCATCCCGGACCAGACCCGGATTGGAGCGTACTATCCCGGACCAGACCCGGATTGGAGCGTACTATCCCGGACCAGACTCATCCCGGACCGGAGCGGATTCGTCCTGATTTAGACCCAGACCGGACCGGACCCGTCTCGGACCAGACCAGACCTGGGCCGGAGCGGACTCGTCACGGACCAGAGCAGGCCTCACCCGACCCGGACCGGACCCGACTCGACCCATCCCGATCCGAGAGCCGGACCGGAGCGGACCCGACTCGACCCGACCCATCCCGGTCTGAGAGCCGGACCGGAGCGGACTCGTCCCGGATTGCAGTGGACTCAACCAGATTAAACCCAGACAGCACTGTTCCGGGACCAGACCCAGACTAGAGCGGACTAATGCCAGACTAAATCCAGACTGAGCCAGGTTTAAACAAAGAGTGGATCTGGAGTAAACCTGGATTGGAGGCAGACTAAACCCTGATCAAATTTATGGAAGGGGAAATACATTCAGAATGCAGATGGAAAGGCAGCAGAGGTTATAAGAAGCAGAATACCCAACCATGCAAAGGTCTTAGGTTGAGGTGGGTGGAAACCACAGATTATATCATCCCAGACTACTTTTAAAGGTTGCTTAGGAAGAGAGCAGACATCAAACAGCACTAACAAATAAATGGGGATTTCTTGAAAAGAATAGTAAACACCAGTCGACTTTTTATTAGCCAGCAATGAAGTTATGAGAAGCAGATCTTCAAATAGCACAAAGGTCATTTAAGATTAGATTGGAAAGGTGACTGAAATATATTAATGGATATGGAAACAGGGTAGGTAAATAGGATGCAAAAGATTGGTTATTGTGGAGAGTTAACACCTGACTGACTGAACCAAAGTCCTATTTCAGTGCATCTTTTATGGTATTTCGTAACAATGTACTGGTGATCCACCCAGTTTTTCTGTTAGCACGTACCTGTAGCGGACATGTCCCCGGGGGGGGGGGGGGGGGGGGGGGTGTGGCTCTGTCCCTGTACCTCTCCCCAGGGGCGGTAAAAAGAGGTGGCACAATGGCACTGGTCCCTACCTCTGAGCCAGGTGACCCAAGTCCCACTTACCCCACACGTGAGTAATTACATGTGAACAGATTGATTAGGAAACCAGAAAGTCAGAATTTGCCCAAAGCTCCACTCTATATAGGGCAAGTGCAGGGGCAACCCACATCCAGTGAACCACAGGCTGGAGGAGTAGGGTGATGCCACTTCACCATATCCAAGAGTCTGCAAATTTAGAAAGTTTAAATAAACTAAGGGAAAGTATTAAGAACTGGCAAATCCAAGGAAGCAGATCTCACTGCAATTTGGGGAAAGAAAACTATTTTAGAAAGGACCCGTGCTCATCAATTTACTGAATAAACTAGCATTTAATTGTGATCGAGGTCAACAGGTATGGTGATGTAAGGGTAACTAATGAATCAGAAGCAAAGCACTCAGCACTAACTAGACAGCTATTATGAAGAATCAAATTGAACTCTAATACTGCCAGATCTGCTGAGTTTTTGTTGTCATTTCAGATCTCCAGCATACACAATAATTTTAGTGAAGTGGTTGTAGTGCTGAACAAGCAGCTGTCAATTATGGGAAACACGGAACACAGCTATAACTCCAAATAGCTTCTGTTCGATAGCAAAAGAAACAAATTTTAATTATCTTGCATAAATTCTTAAGGATCACTGGACTTTCTCTCCACAATGCTGAGATTTTCCACCAGCTGCAGTTGTGTTTTGTTTAATTTGCTTGCATCTTCCAATTCTGGAGTGAAATGTTCATGGCTTATCAATGGCACACACAAACTGCTTCAAGGAACCAGAGAATGGTGATCTGCCTCACATACAGCCACTTTAAATAACAATTGTGTCCCTGCAAGGCAGAGGTACAAACCATTTGATTGATAATACAAAGATGTTAGCATTACGAGTGACAGAAAAGGTCTGTGGAAGAAAATATCTGCAAAGCTTTCTTCAAGTGAGAACTGCCAGTGGTGTTCGATGCAAGAGTTGTACCCTGAAACCAAATCTAGCTCCCATTCAGTAAGCTGGCCATATACTAATAAAACAAACACTGTACATCAGAATAAACATGCACGAGTTGAAAAGATTACTCAACACACAGGAAGTCTTTACTCATCTGACAATGACTTCCAGAGGGAAATTTAAAAAACCTCTTCTCCTAATTTTCTTAGCGACAGGGAAGTTAGGTGCCTGATGATTACACAGATTACTACAGCAGCTAACCAGATTGCTGATGTGACAAAGTCCACTTCTCTTTTCCAATCACTAACAAAGGCAGCTGTATGAAAACTCTATTGGCACTTAATGATACTGTATACACAGCACTCCTGACTCACTCCTTCTGCATTCCCACTCTACCCTGCAATTGTTAAGAACTTTGTTCACCTAATTAATTATTTGCCCCTTCTTTTCTTGATCAATTCTGTCCTAAGTCTGAATCAGATTCAATGACTAATATCTAGCATCTCAATCCACAGACAGAGACGAGAGGAGATCAATAGTGGCTTGGGTGCCAGAAGGATTGAAGCAGTTCTCGAATGCACTTCCTTTGTGGGAACAGGGACAGCGTGTCCCAGGAAGCATCAGCAGCTGCGAGCTGCATCAGCCCCTTTCAACCTTGGCTGCAATGAAAGCTTTTATATTAATGCAGAGAAAGAGAGGGATAGAAAACACTGCATATAAAACAATCAAAAGGGCTTTTCAGACAAGGAAACTTCGAAGCCAGGACTCCACAAATAAACTTGCAAGAAACAAAAGCTCACTGGAAATCCAAACGGATCTATTAGAACATGCTTTTTGATGGCCAATTTACATTGCTTGGAGCTTGTAATGCAGGATATGGCAAATCTGCAACAGGAACATCTAGTCACTGTACAAAAACATTCCAATTAGGAAAAGAATTGGATTTGCAAGAGTTTAATTTGATTTGTGCATAAAGTGGTCAACAGTAAAGGGTGTGGTGACTACAACAAAATTTATTCTTCACCTATACTCTTCCTTTATCTGTCCAGAAGGAAAATCCCCAAAACATTCCTCCCTTGTGGGTCAGGTAACTGCCTGCAAAACAAAGTCTAATGTATTTTTGTTATTCATTCTTAGGGTATAGGCATCACCAGCAAGGCTAGAATGTCCATTGCTTAGCCAGATGCCCTTCGAATGGTGGTATGCCACCTCCACTCTACTCCAAAAAAGGTGCAGAGTGCTGAGAGGTGGGCAATCCAGGATTCTAATGCAGCAGAGCCAAAGTCACATTGCCCCATGTCGCCTGCTACCCTCATCCTCCCAGGCGGAGGTGGTCATGGGCTTGGGAGGATCTGATAACATCTTGTAGACAATACACACTGAACTCAAAAATGTGCAGAGTGTGGGACAGACTGCCTAACAGAATTAATTACTTCAAAATTGGACAAGATAAATCTCTCGTGGTACTTCCTTAGTTTAAAGCAAGGGATGATAGAGAAGTGCAGTCAAACTCACATTTGCATTCTTCACATAAAAGCCTCATACTGGAAGCAAGAACCTTGCCTGATTTCCTTTCTGATCCAGAACTAAAACAAGATTGTTGCATCCCAGTGAACACAGGACTGGCCGAGACATGGGATTTTCTGCTTTGTTACATTGCACTGACAATGCTTATATTGGTTGTTACACAAACTCATTACTTTGACAAAGAA